GGGGGGGCAGTTGGGGGTGAGCAGGCCAGCAGGGGGGCAGTTGGGGGTGATCAGGCCGGCAGGCAGAGTGGTTAGGGGCAATCAGGCAGGCAGGCAGGTGAGCAGTTGGGAGCCAGCAGTCCCGGATTGAGAGCCAGCAGTCCCGAGCCACAGGGATCGGGCCTAAACAGGCAGTCGGACATCCCCTGAGGGGATTGGAGAGGGTGCAGGCCGGGCTGAGGAACAACCCCTGCCATGCACGAATTTCGTGCACCAGGCCACTAGTCAATAATAAAAACAATTTTCTTTTTGAGCAGTACGACAAGATCATCTTATTTAGCAAGGAAGTACTCATCTTCTGAGTTCTGGAAGTAGGGTTAAACTTCTCAATTCCAAGCTTAGTTACATATTATAAAAATCTTTCCATTAAAGCCAGCTCAGCAATAAAAATTGGTCTCACAGAAAAGGAATAATCAGAAAACACACAAGGAGAAGGCAATCCATCATATTCAGACTATCAGGCAGAAAAAAAGTAAAACAAATCCTGATTTTATGATATTGCTAAAATTATCAATTTTGTTAGAAATTAAAAAAACTGTTATTTTTCCAACTTTGTCAAAATAGGCTACATTTTCCTTTATAAGCATATAAGAATCAAGGTAGGGAGCTGGAAATCTGTCGACTGAAAATCTAAAGGGTATTATTGGTATTCAGTAGGCAGGCTTTCATAACAATGACTTGACAAAACCTTGACACTGAAAGTACTTATATCTGCTGTCAATCACTCACTCCTTGACATGTCAAGTGCACATCCTTTCAGGGACAACTTCAATCAACATTAGCACTCAGAATAGAGTACACAGTGTCACTGCTTCAGAAATGAGAGGAAAATAAAATGTGGTAGATGGAAGGGAAAGACAGAAAGGCATTCCTGTTTATAGGAAACCAGATTCAAATGGAAAGTAGATAAAAATCACGAAACAAGCTGGAAGGCTGGATTCAGCCAGGTTATGTGGATTTCTTTATTTGAGAAAAATATTCTCTTGCTATACACCCTACAAGAGAAAATTTGAACAACATATCATAAAGGCTGACAGGGGTCCATCCTGTAATGAACCTTGGGTCTTTGGGAAATAAAGTTAATTTTTGGAGGGAGAAATGCCTAGATATGGTTCTAAGACATGAAGAGAATATGAATCTGTATGTGTTATTCCATTATTCTCTCATTCATACTTCTTTTTCTTTTAAACCTTTGTTCTCTCTTTTACTCCTTCTTCTTCTTTTTTCTCATTATCTTACGAAAGTAGAGTGAAAGAACATGGGGCCTGGAGTCAAACAGCCCTCAGTGCAAATTATTACTGACTAGTTATATGATAACTCTGGACAAGTTATTTAACTTTTCTAAACCTCATCTTATACTAGTACATGCATAAAATATGTACAATAATCTACACTTTACAGAGTTGCTATAAGACTGAATGATAATAGTTGTATATAAAACATTTACCCATAATGAAGTATTCACTATACACCTATTTTCCTCCTCTCTCCTGATTCTGTTGATTCTGACCTCAAAAGAGCATCCATGTGCTCTTGCCCTCACAGAGAGGACTAAAGGGAATGATGCTGAAGCTGCCTTCAGAACACTAGAGGAGAATCAAGGATACCAGGAACCCAGTCAGGCCATGAGAATATGTACTTTACAAACCATGGCCTACAGCCCATTGATTTGCTAGTCTTATTCTGATTGGTAGAATCCGTCCATTGGTGCTTGTCAGTGGCAACAAGGATTATCCTAGTTTGTAGCCTACTTATTACATTAAAAAATATACTTTGGAGGCATTATGCAAGTTTAGGTACCAGCAGAGTCTATAAAAAGTGGCAGATGGAGAGCAAAACTATCAAAAGCATTTTTTTCTACTCTGGCCACAGCAGTTTTCATTACTATGACCTGATGAGCCATAAAAGTTGGAGAAATTGGAAACATTCTAGAAAAAAACAAAACTTCTAATTATTAAAACTATAAGGGCAAATGTAAACAATGCTTTGGGCTAGCACTTATTTTAAATGCCTTTCTCTAAAATAATTTTTGTCATATTTCCATTATTCAATAGGTAAGCCCTGTCTTGGAAACTGGATTATTATTATTTTTTTCTGACTCTATTTCCTTCACAGGTTTCCCACTCCAGTAGAACTGAAAAGACTGTAGCCTTGTGTGGCTGCCCTACACAAGAGGGAGGTAAGGTTTATGAAGTCCAGGAAGAACATGCTTCTCTACTGAAGGAGGCAGATTTCTATTTTATCCAAGTTCAATAGATAATTGAGTACATAGAACTCATATACGTTTTTTCATTTTCTATTGGTATCCTTGCTTTTTTTCGCCCTTTATTATACGTGTTATTAAACTTTAGAGCCAAGAACTGCCAAAAGCCACAAAGAATTCATTCCCCCGAGATTAAAAAAGGAAATGAAACATTTTTATTTTCATCTAAAATAGTGATTTAAGTACTCAAATTTTATACTGAACTAATTTACCTCAACATGTAGATTAGAAGCTACTTAACAGCAATAGCATCAGAAAAGAAAGTTCTCATCATCCTGGGCAGTTCACACTAATAATTAGAAAGAAAAAAGGAAAGCTGTGAATTACAATGAACTAAAACTAAATAAGTGTCCATGCTGGATTAAAGGATTTGCATTGTCAGTCTGATGTATAATGAATGTGAAAATCAGCCATTTAATTAAATGGTACATGGTATAATCACTTTGTTCTGCATTAAACTGCTTAGGTTATCAGAGTGCCTTTAGTTTAGCAATTGTTCACTATTACACTACCCCATGACTTCTCTTAGACACTGTTTAACCTACATTATTCCAAATTTGAAATATGGGGCTTATATAGCTATTTAATTTAACTGATATATTTCATGTATTTATTAATGAATATAGAAAATAGAAAAACTACTTTTAATCACAAAGGAAATAAAAATTAAAACCCAAGAACAAAAATCTTTAAGAACAAAGTAGTATTTTCTTATAGACTGTTTTAATAACTTAGACTTTAAAAGTATTTTCTAATGTGCTTATAATTATAAAATGCCCAACAACCAGCTTTCTTTTTGAAGAACATGGTCAATAAGAGCACTAAGGTCCCTGCAAACACATGAAACCAGAACAGGCCAGAGTGCCTACAAGCCTGATAGGTGTCATGTGACTATATAGTTACTGTGGGTTGGTCTATGGAAAGAAGAAAGCACAAAAATGTCAATAAAAGTTAAGATGGCCCTGGCTGTCAATAGGGATTGAGAAGAGGATACAAGGAGAGTAAGGCTCGACTAGAGACAAAATCACCCAGATTTCATAAGGCTGAAGCCATATACTCACCGCCACGGCAATCCTCCCAAGGACATGCTCTGGAATTTTTCTATATACATCCAAAGATCCCCCTGCAGAGAAAAACATGTGTTACTACCAATAAAACTACTAGAACAGAGCACTGGGTCTCTCCTCTGTGCATCCATTGTGAGAAATTTTTTGCTCATATCATGCATTAAATGTCTGGGGTAAAATTGGTTTTTGTCCAATTTTGTTTATAACAGAATTACACTTCCAGATGAAGCATCACTAGATATTTCCATTTTTTTCTAAGTGAATAATCACATACACACAAATATTGAAGAAAACTAATCAAGGGTAGGCAGAGAATCTGTACTTTATGTAAACTTAAATACATACACAAAACTGGAGATCAATGGATAATTTGATTTAAGTATCAACCTTGTGTAGCAGATTTTCTCAAATGTAAACCAGGACCCTATTTTAAAATTTTCACATTAGCCACAGAAGTTGGTGAATATAAGGTCCAAAAGACACACAAAAACTAGTAAAATAAAATACTAATGTTAACATCTATCTAAATAAATGTTATACTTCAAATCAGGTTCCAAGACAAGCAATCAACTATTCCAAAGATACTATCTTAGTGCAAAATGGGCTTTGTGAGGTTTAAAAAAAACTTTCTCTTTGATAATACTCTGAAAACTAATATAATGGATAAAAAAGAAAAACTAATCTATGTCATAACGTTTTCCACTAAAATGGTATTCACTAGTTCCCCACCCCCCGACCCCCTTTACCAGATCAGCTTTTGGCAGTTTCTACAAATCAAAACCTCTAGATTGTGAACATAATAAAGGCAAAGGCCATGCTGTTTGCTTGTTTTAAATTTTCATCAATCTAGAAGTCAGCAAAACTAGCAAACAGTAGATATTCAATAAATATCTGTCAGATGAATAAATAAAAATCACCATGAATTTCACCAGATAGGTATAGTTACTCTCAAAGCAGTTTCAAAAAAAGAGACTACAAACCATTTGCAACACCAATAACATCACTGAAACAACTGCATAAATTTCCTAGGTAACTACTGTAAAGAAACCAATATTCACTTAGAAGTATAAATTAGGGTATGCATGTTAATTTCAGGAAGATATGCAAAGAACCACTACTTTACTCATATTAATAATACTAGAGGCCCAGTGCACAAAAATTTGTGCACTCGGGGGTGGGGAGTCCTTCAGCCCGGCCTGTGCCCTCTCGCAGTCTGGGACCCCTCAGGGGATGACCACCTGCTGGCTTAGGCCTGCTCCCCAAGGGATTGGGCCTAAGATGGCAATC